GTCCGTCACCTGTTTGTTTCTATGGATACCATGCTTTTACATCTCAAAAATACCTAGAAACTCATGTATTCTGACTGTAAGCAGGGCTGCCTCTCAGTCTCCACAGATCTAACTTGTAACTTGTAACTAATGCCATACTGTGAAACATTCCAGACAAAGCAATAACATCTCCAAGGAGAAAAACATTTGACGGACCCTCCCCCAGAAAAGTTACACTGCACCTTTGAAGGCTCTGTACTTGATTTTTACTGTGTTCAGAACATAAAAAAATAGATCCAGTTCATTTAAAAAAGTTATTCCTCTTTTACCTTAAGCCAGGGGTGTCAAACTCAAATTCACAGAGGGCCAAAATTAAAAACTGGGACTAAGTCGTGGGCCAAACTAAATATTTATTGAAAAATTTCAACAACATTTACATGTTTTCCCTTCTTTCAAGATAAGTAATGTTAAACTTTTTTTTTAATTAAATAAATGTTTAATAATAGTTTTGCTTAAACAGTGAATCCAGAACAAGCATAATATAAAATAATAACAACATTTAAAATGAATAATGTCTCTATAATCTGTAGTCAAGGTGCCAGCTCTAATACATATTTAATATAATCTAATGGGCCAAATATAATTATATCACGGGCCAAATTTGGCCCCCGGGCCTGAGTTTGACATGTCTGCCTTAAGCATTCCGAGCATGCTAATTATTCACTGTGATGAAATTATAAACTCGTTGCTCAACTTTCAGACGCCAGAGTGGATTTTGCCATCGTGGTAATGCTAACAAGGACTAGTATGCTAACTATGTGTTTACTGATTCTTTGAGGAAAAAATGCTTTTGAATTAGATGCAGACAGTACGCAATTGTTTCATTTCTTCCTCAAGAGCTGCTTAAACAATATATCTGTACTGCGGTAAAACTAATTTGGCTCAAATACTCCAAAAGAAAAGTGGTACAACCTGTTGATTCACAATTATAACAGCGGTATTTCAATTGATATGAAGTTAGCGGGGCAGTCAACTCATGAAATTCCTTGATTGGTTGACTAAAGACTTGCCTTGTGCTTCGATTAGTCAAGTAAAAATGGTTATTATAGGATGTAATGTATAGAGAGAAATACTGTATAAGTGAAAATGGATTTTAAAGAGTCCAATCATGTCCAGTCTCCAGCTATCTCACGTCGTACTTTCTCCCCGCTGCTGTGGGCCCTGTAAATCCCTATCCAAATAAAGTAGTTGACTCATAAGACAACTGGCTGACAAAGAAACCATTGTCTGATTAATTGACTCAAGGACTACAGCCCTAGAGATAAGATACATGTGGGAAATACAACATAAAAATTTCATTGAAGTGAGCGTACCATTACTTTAAAGGTGCACTACGTAACTTTTCTAGTGGAGTGTAGGCCACTTGCTCGTCTCCATGGTTGTGTTTGCTTTATGTTCCACGATATGGCAATAAACATATTTTGCCCCATGACTGAGTTACAGGTCAGGTCTGTGGAGAAGCGATTCTGCTCACTGTAAGACTGCATGTTTTTCAAGGTATTTTTGAGCTTTAAAGCGCCATAAAATAATTGCCAGGGAAACAAGCAGGATGCATACCACCACTACAGAAAATGCAGTGCTTTTTTAAAAATCACACATATCAAAAAATGAATCCTGTAAGTCATTTTTGGAATTTCAAGCATTTTAAATTAAATGTCGAGACATACAGTATGTTCAGGAACAATGTGCATATCTGGTTGTGTCCTTGGGCATTGACTGATTTTATGAGCAGCTAAAAATGCCTAAAATGAGCAAAACAGTAGCATGGAGTAGTTAAATGCATTGTTTATCAAAATTCAATCCAATTTTTTCACTGTCGCATTTCCCACTTGTATTGTTGCCATCACAGTTTGTACTTTCAAGTTCAAAATAATAATAAGAATGCTTGTCATCGATTGCATTTGTCAGACTCTCATTGTGAGTATAGAATTTCATATATTATTCTTTCAAGACCCATAGGTGGAGAATCAAGTGGCATGGCTGCTAATCTGCTTCTACACACCAGCCAATCAAAAAGTAAACTAGTATCTACACTACTAGCATTTACACTTACGCATGTTTAATGACTCTTCTCATTCACAACTTAAATACGGACTTCTACGTGTTTATTCCTCTTAGGCACCATTTTTATGCTCGGACATGCCCACATCCCACAATAGACTGGTTTCCTAAATGGCACATAGTCATAGTCTAAAACTGAATAACGACAAGTCAGAAGTGGTTTTAGTTGATCCCTCTAATCCTGCGAATGATCTTTGCATTTATGTTGGAGACTAAGGATAGACTCATCCGATACTGATATTGTTGATGTAATACCACTGTTTATTGATCATAGTTTGCCCAAAAGATCTCATGCTGTTATGGATCGAGAGACAAATAACAGCTACGTAAAACATTTGGTTCAGTTTTGTCTTCTTTTATGTTTGTTTTAAGGAAATAAATGCTGTTTTAATTTTCTGCTCTGGTATCGGTTAATCGGGTATCGGCAGACACTTAAAGCGGTAGTATCAAAATCTGTATCGGAACTGAAAAAACTGGATCACTGCATCCCTGTTGGAGACATGTCTAATAGTTTGAAACCTCTGCCAAGAATGTTTTATTAGATTAAAATTTTTGTCCTTTAAATAGATAATGTGGTCCAAATGTGTTTATGTAATTTTAAGGTAATTTCTCTCACTGGCTGCTGTTCCATGTACACTATGTATTTTATTTAAATTACCTTAGAGTGCTATATTATGGTTGTATCGCTTTGTTTTGTGTGGAGGCTCTGTTTTATCAACCTTGCTGTTTTGTTTTTTCTGAATAGCGCTATATAAACAAAGATTATTATTAATACGCACTTGTCGGATCTGAGATAGAACCGGCAATCTTTTGTGTATGTGGATGAGTACTCCAGATCACTGAGCCACTGCTGCCCCCCTTTATAATAACTTTGTCAAGATCACATTACTCCTTGTGCGATACCCGGGCACATTTCCTCTAAATTGGCCCTGGCTGTAACAGATCCCACCGATGGAAGTGGAGAGAGTCACCGAATAAAAGAGGAGAGAGGAGAGAGAGAGAGAAGGGAGGTTTGAAAAGATGAGCAGGAGACATGCCATTGTGTTTGTGGTTTGTGTGTCTGGATCTAGAGCTAGACGCCACATTTACGCACACACATACACATCTCTCCATTGTGAAGCAGGGGTAACCATACACCTGTGGTCTGTCTAAACTGCAGAGGAGAGACAGTTTGGGAGGATGTGTATCAACAGATGCTTGGGTTGTATTCAGATTTGAAGAACTATAATGATGATCAAATTTGACGGAACATTTTATCTCAATAACTACAAACTCAAATGGTTTGTTTTAGACTGTGTGGTCTAAACTGTCTTTTTTGAACTTTTAATCATGTTATAATGTTATTTTCTCATCAAAGGTTCAAAGATACAACTTCAAAAGACAAATTCTTGTCTTCTCAGTGCTCAAATAGCCATCACCGTATTGCTAATAAATTTGAGAGTTTGCAGTAATCCTTTTAATGTAATTCAAATGTCTCTACTCCACATTGAGATGCTATTCTTTCTATTCTATGCTATTCATACTTCTTGTTTTGTATGAAGAATAAATGTTGATTTGATTTTATTCAAATCAAGTTAATTTGCATGTCAAATGGAAGTAGACTTTAACATTTTGTTTTAATATAGGACATACATAGGACATTTAAATGAATATGTAGTGCAGCAGTTTTGCCAAACATATCCATACTAATGCTAATCGATATGGATATTAAAACTTGTATCAAAACTAGATACTCATTAGTGCAAGTATATCAATAAAAAGTCACATTCACAGGACAGAAATTAACCTGAATAGTTTTAGAATGATTTTGCGCTGTATCAGAACAAGTATAAGAGCACATATATGCCCGTGGACCACCATAGAACCTACCTGGATTACACAGGGATTACTGTATTTAGCCTAATCTTTTTTTTTTTTTTTTTGGTTATCATTGTGGTATTATATTGAGTATCAAGTCTATTCCTTATCAAATCAAGTTTGAAATGTTTATATTGAATCCATGTATCATTTGTTCATTCTTTTTTCAAAATAAAACCAAAAATAATAAATGAAAACAATTTTCTTAAGTATTTGTCTCAAAAAAAAAAAAAAGGGTGAATGAAAACGATTATTTTATTTATTTATTTTTTTCAGTTTTTGATTTTGTATTTAAATGAATAATGAAAAAAATGGATAACAGCCGTTTGTTGTTTCCGTGACTTAAACTGCAATGCCGGACTAGACCAAGACTGAGACCGGGACCAGACCAGGACTGAGACCTGGTTTTGTCCTGGTTTAGACCTGGTTCTGTCCTGGTTCAGTTCTTGTTTAAATGTGGTTTAGACCTGTTTTAGTCCTATTTTAGTCCTGGATCAGTCCTGGTTGAGTCCTGGTTCAGCCCTGGTTCAGTCCTGGTTCAGTTCCGGTTCAGTCCATATGCGGCACAAAAGTCAGGCATCGCAGTTTAAGTCATGGAAATGAATATATAAAATATAAATTTTTTCCATTAATCATTTAAACACAAAATTGAAAACTGAAAAACCGAATCGTTATCCTTTTTTTAATTTTGGTTTTGGAGACAAATTATGAAGAAAATTGTTGTTTTTCTGTTTAAATTTTTGGTTTTATTTTGAAAAATGAATGAACGAATGATATCCGGATTATATTGTGACAGCACTATTCTGGTTTCTTAATAAAGACTATGCCTAACAGGCTGAATACTGTGATAATAATAAACAGCCCACATTCTTAGACCTAAAACACCTCTTTTATGGCAAGCTGGCTGTGTGTGAAGTCATTGCACCTCACACCTTTGACACCTATTGACAAACAACATATTCTTTGTATATAGAACCTATAAACCTGTTTAGCCATCGTTTCTCAGCAGTCAAACATCTCTATGTGTCACGTTTTGTGTTTAGGTTTTGGATCACTACGAGAGAGAAGGCTTCCATTTCCTCTCCAAGGTTTTCAATTCCTCCCACTCGTTCCTGGAAGACCTCACGGGGCTGACGCTGCTGCACCAGGAGACGCAGGCGGCTGAGGTACAAACAAAATAAAAGCAAAAACACGGAAGGGTTGGAGCTTCAGGGGTTTTTCTTAGTAAAAAGTCCAGAACAGGTGTTTCAGACAAGGCTCAAAGGGCAAACAGTGACCTTGCTTGTAGCATAGAAACTTATTGTAACAGTAGGGGTGGGATAAGACAGGATTTTCACAAGGTGAGATGAGACACGAGATAGGGTCCACAAGATTAAGATGAGATTTTGAAATTATTTACAATAATCGGATCAATTCACAATTTTGATCACATGATTTTTAATTTAATTTTTTTATATATTGTGTTGTGAATGTATTTTATGTGTTGATATAGTTAATTCACTTATTACATTTTAATTATTTAAATTATTACACTAAAACTGGACCTGCAGCCTATATGATACATGTACAATGCAGAGGGACACAGAGAAGTAGGAGCTCTCCTCTTTCCTTCTTTCTCACTTTAAACTAATTTATGGATAAGAAAAGTCAAAAATATTTCTTTGTGGATCTTTTTCAAACAGTGTTCAGCACGGTTTGCGGGTGAATTAGACACACATATATTTGATTATATTATATAGTGATCTTTTTTTAACCAAATTTAGCACTGATTATCTGCATCAATATTAGTCCTATCACTACAAAATAAAAACTGAAAAAGAGTCTCTATGTGGAGGAGTCTTTTAGCTATGGCTGCTCAAAGATATGCAACTTTTCAGAGCCTGGGCAAGGCGCTCTTTCATGCCTGTGCCAAATGTAAAGACGGAGTATGCAATCTCGCCAATACTCTTGGACCAAGAGAAAAAGAACATTTAAAAAAAAAAAAATCAAGTACTTTGTAACAAATTGCAATATAATTACATTTACTTCAGTTTAAAGCTGTTCCACTGCACAGTTGTGGCCATGTGTGATGAAAATGAGTGATCTTGGGGAAAATCTTAGTCATATGACCAAAAATGAGCTGCAGTTGATATCAAGTGTGTCTGATATTTTTGTATCTTGGTTGCAGAGGGAGTCCTCTACTCCACCATAAGCAAGAGCCCATTTCTTTTTAATTTAGTACTTTTTACAATGCTGTGAAAACACAGCTAGCCACAATTCATCATGAGAACCATCACACAGTGTACTTATGTGCTGTCTTACAATTTTCATGTTGTTTAGAATCACATCTATAAATATTATAGAACAGAAAATGATGATGCAGGTAGGTATTGAGGTATAAGTGTGACTCAAAATGTGTGAGACAAAATGCTGTGATTTCTCTGTTTAGCCAACAAACAATTTTTAGCATTCACTTAGGTTTGTGTGGGAACAATTTAGCTATGGTATTTCCCTATATCTTGTCCAATATGTTTCAAGCATACACAACTAATGCCACTATTTTAGGTAACTTAAGTAATTGGATGATGGCACTATAGCAACTCCAAACCCAAAACATGTTTTATCTTTGAACATCAGATGCTCTTCAAATAAAAAGGGAGATGAAAGACACTCCAGGCACACAAAAAGCACAAAGCATGTATTTGAGGTGAAATACGAGTCTCGATTTGGGATGAGTCGTGGTTTGTGAATTGTTCTAGGTCAAGGTGTTCGGAAAAATGATTTGAGAAAGTGTGAGACGGATCAGGGGTCTGCTTAAGGCCAGAACAGAACGTGAGGTACGAGAGCAGAGCTAAATAGGTCTTCTCGTCTCTTTCCATCATGGGGTCTCGTCTGATGGCCATATAAGGACACATGTCACTATTATCTGGGATTGTATTTCACGTGGACTTTTCTCATTACTTTGAATTGGAATAGTTTTTGATAGGCCTGTCACGATAACAGATTTTAACGTGCGATATAAAGTAAATACAGATAAACGATAATATTGAAACCAACCCATAAAGATAAATTATCCACTAAAAAGTATTCTAAATGTTTAATATTGTTAAAAATGTGAACAGAAAGTAATTAAATAACAGAACGTAAATTTTGGAACTCTTTTCTGAGAGAGGGTATTTTGACACACTTCCTTTTAATGTGTGAAACCATTAAAAGTACTTTGACATGTTATGACTTCTGACCCATGAATTCATTTGAAAGACCCTAAGAGAGATTTTGGGTTGTATCTGGTGGTGATTTGGCTTCATTACAGACTATTGGATTAGATTATTTTTTTTATCAAAATCAACAAGCAATCCTGAAGTAGTTTGTTTGTATGTGTAATCAGTTATAGAAGTTCATAAGTCAGCCTTCTACAGCTCAAATAAAAAAAAAAACTTACCTTTGTAATAGTGTAATAGTATTTTTACTTAGTCCTACATTCTCCTACTGTAAATCATTTTTAAGATTTAATTTGACTATATTAACTTTTGTCCTTCCAGTTACATGTATCTTTAAATTATAAATCAGATTAAAAGTGTGAGTAAAAGTATATCAATTTGTTTCTAGATGTATGACACCATCTTTATATGTTTTATTGGGATATCATGTAAGCCAGTATTGCTAAGATTTTGGTTGGAACTTTACCATTGGTCATGGCACCAGTGGTTTGAGCTTGACAGACTGATTAATGCGAGCGTGTCACTGTTTTACTTGTTTTAAATGTATTCATTCTACATTTTTCCCAAAACCATCTTTACTGTTGCTTTTGTAGCTGGAACAAGCAATCAAGTCCTTTCTTAGTTTTGGCATTGTAATTCAACCCGCAACCCGTGTCAACTCTCCTTTCAGCTTTTATTTTTATTTTTCACACCGCCAACTTGCCTGTGTTGTACCCTGTCACCATGGCGACACACAGAGTTGATTTGCCTGTGGAACAATAAAGTTGGAGCAGAGTTATTGGTGGAGTATGGGTGGTTTTCCTCTGGCTCCCTCCTGGATCTCTTCTGACAGGACGGCCCGAGTGTGTGGGCGTCTGGTGGGGGAGGGCGAATGGGCTCTGGGAAAATCCCACGTAGACTTTCTGCAAACTCCCACTCAGCGACACAGGCTTAAAGCAGGGAGGAGGAGGAAGAGGGGGAGACAAAAGTTTGTTGAAAAGAGTTGCTAGTTTAATATACTCAACAATGATGGTTATAGACTCCAATTTAAAGGTCTGGTATTATGTTGTTACCTCTTCAAAAACATACCTGGAGTTACATTTTGTTTCATTCGCACATGTTTGAGTAACTTTGCATTGTTAGACTACATCTATACATCTCCAAATCTCAAAATGCTGGCAATACCTGGGCTGAAATTATCCAAATGACACTACTGAAGATGTATGGAGTTTAAAAACGCAGTGGAACACTTCCTGTATTACCACATGATATCACAAGGTGGAACAGTGTTTTCGATTTGAGAGAAGAACTAATTCTAAATATGCAGGGTTTGTGTTTTAAACATATGTGAATGAAACAAAACACATCTTCACGTATGTTTTTGATGAGGAAACTGCATCTTCTGAGTCTTTATTTCTCTACTCTTTTCTATAATTTCTTTTAAAATGAGTTGAACTTTTTGGTTGTTTTTTTCTGCTCTTCAATCAGGAGATGAGGGAGAGATTGTTTTGATTGCACAGCCCACTAGCGCCAAAAGTCCTAGCGTCTGTTTCCAGGTTTAGATTAGATTAGCTGGTCTGAAAAAAAAAAAAGAACTACCCTTGAGTTGTTGTGTTTTTTTTTTTCTTTCTCAATTTTGGAAATGTTTTAACTCCTTTCTGAAGGAGTGTATTATGACGTAGTTTATTTAATGTGGGAAACCGCTAAAAGTACTTTGACATATTATTAGTTCTGACCCATGTTTGCTTAAGTACAGGCTTGAAATATGAATGTAAGAATTTTGTTGAAAGAGCCTAAGAGAGATTTTGGGTTGTGGCTGGTGGTAATTTGGCTTCATTACAGATTCACAGTGCACAATTTTAAACAATCAAAATGAAAATGTTGTAAAACACAGGACAAATCAACATTTTGAATTTCAGTCTTTATTCTTAAAGGTCCTATAGAATGCAGAATTGATTTATTGAGTGAGCTTTTTTGTGTGTTTTAGAACTTAGTTGTGTTTCATTCACACACTTTATTAGTCTGCTGTTCCAAAACCCCAAAATGCTCTGTTTCACCTTGTGAATTTTCAACGGCTCCTTTTACATTTTGTTTAGTAGAGATTGGAAATTCCAGGGTTAAAATAATCCAAATAATTCTAGTGAAGTGGTGTATGGAGTTTAAAAACACAGTGGAGCACTTCTTGTATTACAACATGACAGGTGGAACAAAATGTTTTTTGTTTGAGAGAAGAACTCAGCCTAAATATGCAGGATTTCAATGTGAATGAAACAAAACAAAACAGAGGTCGGTGGTTTGACTGCAACATTTTTGCTATGTTATGCTTAGGCAAGACACTCCACTTGTTTGCGTCAATAAAATTTTATGTGGTCAGTTTGAGGAGGTTGTAACTTGAAATAACATTGATTCCTATAAAAGTGAAAATGGGATATAAATGGACATAGCCTACATATTTTGAGAGGTGCTGTAAATGTTTGGATCCCAGACTCCTCTGCAGTCTGTGTTCTTGTGGTAGTGAAAGTATAATTTACGTCACTACATATTTACTTTAGGCCTATTCCTGGCACATGTGAAACTCGAGAAGTGCTTTTTATGCGGTACTGGGGAGTTCACGTTTTCTTAAAGTTTAGACTGACTGTGTGTGTGTGTCTCTGTGTGTATTTTCCATGCTCTGAGGTTTTGTAAGGAAAGGGTTACGGTTGAAAATAAGAATGCTAACACTTTAATAGCATTCTTTTATTGTAAATTTATCGCCGGATTTCACATGATGTCACAACGTTCTATAGGCAAACAATTATTTAATACACATAGGGGGGCAGATCAAAAGAACGTTGTTAAAATGCAAATTGTTCTTGTAATATCTATGGGTTTCAGATAATGTTGCCACAGCAATATAGAATTCAAAAGACAATATTATATCTTTTGAGTGGGAAGAAGTCCTCAAAATTTAGCATATAACAGGAAGCTGAAAACCATGAATAGCAAGT